CCAATAGTCTAAATGTATATTGGGGTCTAGCCACAGAACGGTAGCTAAAACTCCTCGTATCTCGCAAAAGTGCTCTTGTCATAATCCACCGCAAATCCCAATTAAGTGTACCCAAAACGCGAAACCCATAAATAAGACATTGTATGTATTGTAAGTCATGGTATATATTAGGGTCTGTAGAGGTTACTCAGCTTCACCCATGCATGGGGGGTTTCCAGGCGCTTCCAGGCCGTTCCAGGGGGCTCCAGGGGCCTCCAGGGGCCTCCAGGGGCCTCCAGGCGCTTCCGGGGGGCTGGGAGCCCAAAAACCTTCCAAGAAAGACCCAAACCACAGCTTCCGTGAGAGAATCTTTCTTGGACACATCAAGATGTCCATGAACCAGTTGCTGGGCTGCTGTTAAGGAACTTGAATTAAGTTACCAGAATATGAGTATCTCGTACACAAGCGGGTTTCTTTTTTTATGGGAACTTAATTTAAGTTCCTTAACCTCAACCCAGGATATGCAATGTGCTTGGTGATATGATTGATGAGTACCCTCGATGGGGCTATGACTTATTCCGACGGAACTGCCGTCACTTTGCAGAGGATCTGTGCTCACGAATTGGCGTGCAGCGGCTGCCGGATTGGGTGTACGGATTGGCCAGGCTATGTGCGGCCGCTGAAGACTTCATGCAGGACAGCCTGAACCAGAGCATTGCGCAAAGACTACAAGAGATCCTGCCAGAGTCGTTGGCATCCTTCTGGACAAGCACTGAAACAAGCACTGAAGAGGCTGCCAACAAGCCTTCCGTAGAGGGTGCTTTGCCCGTGGATTCTACAATGGCCTATCCGCCATTGTAAGGGGGTCTTTCTGACTAAAACCTTCGATCAATCTCTTATGCGCTGGTGTCTATCAACATCAACTGACTCGCACAGCTCCGCCAAATTAGAGTCTGAGCACGTGGCACCCTCTGTTGTCTTTGTCATGGACAGCGGACTAACTTTGCCAGTCAATGGTTTCATGATCATCTGCTATGCCTGAAATGGCTTCGTGTGAACTCGGAGTGATGGCTACACATGCCCTGCACGCATCAATCATAGTGAAGAAAGTGCTTCCAGTAAAAGAGCAAGTCATAGTGAGGCCTGCGCTTCCCGAGTGTGAGCGGTAGAGTAGAGTCATGGGGACAGGATGCCGTGATTGTGCCTCTGCAGTTCTGAGACTTGCGGGGCCCGTCGCCGGCATAGGGGCTTGTAAATGGCCCGCCCGAGTACGGAGTAGCCCCAGATGAGCGCTTTGCAAAGCCCGTTTGATCATCCGACTCGTTCTTGCATATACGAGTTTCTCAAAGTCCCACGAAAACAGGGGTCGTTGCAAATAGGTCAAGGAGAATTGATCCATCCATGACAGTGAGTAGAATTCCAAGGTGAGTTTCATGTGTTGTGATAGTCCGCGCCTCCAGGGGAAGTAACCTCCATACAATCCTTCAAGAGGGGCCCACTTATTCATTCTTGCGAAGAAGCCGCCAGGGTTGACTCCTCAGCTGAAGTCCCTAAACCCTAAACTCTACATACCCTAAACCCTACACGTTATATACCCTACACTCTAAACCCTATAGGGTTCCTAAGGAAAGCTGGTGAGACTACAGTGATTCTGACGATATAGCGAGCACAGGGTGGTGCCTTAATGCTTGGAACTCGTTATTGTGAGTTACGGGCTACACTTAATTTAGGTTGGGGGGACCTATAGAGGACTATTCGTCCAGGGCTCGTGTCCGCTTTAGGGAATTCAGAGCCAAGCTCATGTGGCTTGCTGTGGAAGTTGGCGCAGAAGCAAGCAAACTCAACCGTCTTCCAGGAGTGGCTTACGGGCTTACATAGGTGGCGGTTCAGGGGGACTTCGTAAGTCGGGTTTAGGATGCAGGGTGTTAGGGTCAGTGGGACTTCGTAAGTAGGATAGAGTAGGGTTGCTATGTGGATGATGTCGGGAGTCGGCAGTGACCCTGCTCAGTGAATTCCCCTGACTTTCCAAGTATATAGGGTTTTACAGCGCAGGTCAGGTGGACGCCCACACCCTGTCAATGATTGGGTGGGGGGCTAATAATCTACGGGTGGAAGCGTTAGGATTTCCAGAAAAGGGCACAATTACATGGTTTTTATTGTATGTTGGGGTCTGTAATGGGCCTTTCGTTCAAATTAACGTGGAAGCTGAAAAGGGGGGGTCTACATAGACTACCGTCCTTTTCGACGGGCTACGTATAGTTTCATGTTACTGTAGGTTGGGTGAGGATAGAGTTTAAGAAGTTCACCTGGCCAATTCCCTATACTGCCAACCCATCCCAAATCGCCTTGCAAATGGTGAATCTACACCCTAAACCCTAATTAGTCTGTATTCCCCAAACCCTGATATCCTTAAACCCTAATCCCTAAATCCTAATCCCGAAACCCTAATGCCTACAATGCACAGCCAAGGCTTCTCGGCTCCGTGATGATCGCTGGTACAGCTTCGCCTTCCAGCAGCTTGGTTTGAGCGTTCCAGGATTTTGGGGTGGTTTAGGGTTTAGGTTTCAGGGCTTAGGGTTCAGGGATTATGGATTAGGGTTCACGAAATTCAGGATTTGAGGTTTGGGTTCAGGAGTTTGATATTTGGGGTTCAGGAGTTTAGGGGTTTATATAAGCGGTGTGAAGCTTGGGATCCTAGAGTCTAGGGTTCCTTGCGAGTGGGTATAAGGTTGAAAGTTTGGGATCAAGGAGTTCAGGGGTTAGGGCGTTGATTAGCTGCAGTTTGGGGGATTAAGGGTTGCGCAACGAATCATGTACTGGTGGCGGCGGCAGTAGAAGAAGACCAAGAAGCATGAGCAACTAGCAGGAGCTGTGCTTCGACTGGTGAGTAGCTTCATGATGCTCAAGTCGCCGTCATCATTGGGATCATGGCAATGCTGGATGGTTTTCGTAACCAGACATCCTTGGCTGTGGAACCGGTACAAGGCCTAGATCCCCCCTCCTTGGCTACATCACGAATCTTCCGAAGTCTGAACCCAAAAAGGTGCGCTCGAAATGAAGGCATTTCTCGTGTACGGAACCATGCAGCAAGTTTGATGGCCCCAGCTTACTCTGTTGTTCTCCCTGAAGTCCCTGCGTATTCAGGTATTGTAGAGCTCGAATGCCTGTCCGCAGCCCAGTGAATTTCAGGGTGCGGCCTGTGCAGCGTGTCCGGGTTCAGCATCAGGTTTTCAGCCATTGTCAGCTTCCAGAGATCTCATTCGCTGCAATCAAGACCTCAATCCTTAAAGGGTCTGAGGCCTAGACGCCAAACCCTAAGCTTACGGGTGGTTACTCGGGAATGTGGGAATCTAATCCCGAAAAGAACCCAATATAATCTACTCCCCTATTCCCTACTTAGCACCAGTAAGCAAGAACCCGTACACTAAACCCTAAACCCAAGTCGTCAGCTGTGTCTGGCTGCAGTCGATGCAGGCCTATCTTGGCGGTGCTGGGGCCTCAGGGGTATGCCAGGAGACGGCTCGGGTTATTCTCACCATTTGTGCCACAAACTCGCCCGACTTTCTTCCACCATGGGTCAGCATAGGGTTTCGAGTGGATATCACTCCATCATGGAGAATCGAATGGAAAGAAACTTGGAAAATGAAATGAAACCTGGGATTATATAGCTCCATGTCTTCCACTGCAGTAGCTCCCATTTTCCCGTCCATAAGCCCTGTAAAGCCCTATACTCCTGCCTGGGTAAGGGGCCTCTGTCTGGAAATGTTTCCATTTGATTCTCCATTGCTGGACCAATATCCCTAACCTTCATATAACCTGTGAATATCTCTTCATGTACAGCCATGTCAACTAATCTGAAGACCCTGTATTCTGATGCTGTATTGGCTCAATACTAGGGCCCTTGAGCTAACCCCGCTTCGCAGTGTTCAAAAGGTC